TAAGAATTGATTTGGCTTTCTCGTTTCCTATTTAAAATATAAATAATTAATAAATTCACGAGACCCTGATGTGAAATCACAGATTCGAGAGGACAAGAGCCAAGACAAGATGTTAAATGTCTAAATCATTTATTGCGAAAAATAAAAATTATTTTAGACATTTAACACCCTGTCTTGGCTCTTATTCCTTTATCCCTCAAAATATTAATGTTCTGTAACAATTTTGCAAATAATAAAAATGTAATAATAAATACGCGACGAATGGAGCATTGGATGATCGAACGGAAAGCGCGGCCGCGATCGGAAACGTCGGTAACGCAGTTAAATCAGTTTCCCTTTAAATTTCAACTCGTGGAACTTGGGCGTGAATTTCCGGTGTTCGAGCCGGCGATTCCTTTATCGTGCGGCTTTTTCATCAGAATTACAAACAATCGCCTCGAGAATGCTTTTTAATCCCGGCCAATAAAGCAATCGGGCTCGTTCCCACAGCGACGTCTTCCAACCCGGCTGAAGAAGCTCTCACCCTCTCTTTCATTCCTCTCGCCAGAGTTCGACCCTCTTTTATGCTCTCTCCGTCCATTTCTTTTTCCTCATCTTTCCTCTCCTCTCCCTCTTACTCTCTCTCTCTCTCTCTCTCTCTTCCTCTTCTTTTCTCTTACCCTCCCGAGACCGCCGATAGCGATGCTCGACTCTCTCGTCGCTTTTTAAAACAATCGGCGCTCGTAAACAACGTCATTCCCAGCCTTTTGTTTCCGCCGCCATCTTGCAACGAGCTGCAGTTAACATGCTGGTTGTTGCTACACGGACAATTATTTTTATTGCTCGCGTCCGACGTGTTTCCGGCGGCGACGGCGGTTTTAGACATTCATTCATCCTGAGGCAACGGTATAATCCGCAATGTTTGTTGCACCTCTATTCGGCTTTCAGCAATAAATGTTTATTTCAGTCTAAGTTTTGTTTTAAAAACTTAACTATTTTATCATATGAGTAATTGTAATGTATTTTTTAATATTACTTATCGTTACATTGTGCCCGCGTCGCATAAAAGTAAGAATTCAAATTTATTTAATTTTAAATAAACTTTTATTGCTAAACAAGAACGGTTGCGCCTTGTGAATTTTAATATAAATATAAAATCTATAAAGTGTATATAATTGAAGAAATAAGTTGCAGATATATGTGTTTATCCGGCGGTTTCTCTCAAATATTAATTAAATAGTATAAAAATATAAAAACAAAAATAAATATTGAGGAATCTATGAAGTTTTTAAAGAAAAATGTATTAAATATAAAAGAATATGTTATAAACGTATACACATATCAATTTACGTTTGCGGTCTCAAGAACTTCTGTTAGTATTTTCTCTTTGCAGTGACTTAATTAATCTCGGTTCGGTTTCATTATTTTCTTTTACACTTGAAGTCACCACTGATTTTCTACCGTTTCTTGCTCACATACGGCCATATGTAATCATCGAGAAATTGTTACTGCCTTCGCTATTGTTGCTACTTTTAAGCGACGAGAGATCCGCCGGCGGTCATTCCGCGCGAAAGCATTAAAGCCTTTGAAAGAGTAGACGAAAGCTCTTAGCAAGTCGGAGTCGGTTAGCGGCGAGCGCTAAATGGAGCTCGACGATTTAAGAGCGGCATGCAATCAGGTGAAACGCGATTATTTGTCGCAATATTACGACATTTCAGCGTTAGCTTTGGCAAAAATGTCGGAAGGAAACAGAAAAATTGCATAATATATGAGTCTAAATTTAATTTAAATCTATATAATCGCAGACGAAACTTTAATAGAATTTATATGCAGTGTGTGTCATTTAAATTCATTTCTTAATATTGTGGAGAAAAGTCCCCTATTATGAGATAGGATTACCGTGTTTTCAACATCCGATTTCACTGATCTTTTTCGCGACGATAACACGCACGATTTGACAATGAATTTTCCCCTAAACTGATTTCACTCTAAGAGCAGTAAATTAACGATGGAGCCAGCAGAAATCCCGCTGTCTCATATTAGAAGTCTATCTCATAATAGGGGACTCTTCTCTATCTATAAAATATGTAGATATTATTTTTTTCTATGATAGACATATAATAAAAAAATAGCACTGAATTAAATACATTAACAGGCTGAAATAACTTCCTTCATCTTAGCCTAATCAAATGGTAATTCTCAGCTCACACGTCGCTGTTCTTACTCGCCGACAAACACGATCCCGCGATCATCCCTTAAGGGGGCTTGTTCCCGGCGCCGGAACGCCGCTCGCCTTTTAATTTCGCCGCGGCGTTCTCGAAATCTCGTCGCGATTCCGGCGAGGGACCCCCGAGGATTAATGGTGGGCTGGCCGGGGAGGGCAGGAGTGTTCAACAGCGACGATTAAGCGTCGTCGCATAAGAATGCATCCCGAGCGCATAATAATCCCGGGCGATGCCTCATCGCGGCAATAAATGTCTCGCCGAGCGACGCCCGGCGTCATCGCCGCCGAAGGGAAAAGGTGGATAAATTGAAATTATCTCCCGTGCGTCCCCTCGTGCGGAAGGGGGGCTCGAGCCCGCAACTAAACCTGCCATCCCTCCGTCGCCGGTGTTAAGTCGCCGTAAATAACGAGTGACGGCTGCGAGAGAAAAGCCGGACTTGACTTGTTACGTCCATCGGCTGGACAATTTTGCGGAATCGCGTAATCTCCCAGATAGCATTGCGCGTCTCAAAGACAACGCCGTGCTTAAAGATGTCTCTTAGACACGCGTGCTACCTGGGCTAGTTCGTTCAACCAGTACAGCTATACAGCGAATTTATCTACGACGGTCGGTCTTCGAGGCGAGAGGAAACGCGTCAATTATCGAAACGCGTCGCGGCGGCCGGGGTTACCGCAAACTTTATCATTTATCGTTATTTTCATATGCGAACCGAGGTCCAACGTGAACGGCGGTTTCTTGCGCGAGTTTGCACGCGGCTTTCATTAGCGTGAGTTGCCAGCCGGAAGGCAGAAGCGCGGTTAAAGTTGGGAAGCTGATTGGAGTACCTCGGCGGTTTACCGCTCTTCCCTAACCTTCCCTCCCCCTCCCCGCGCCTCTCGCCACTTCCTCTCTTTTCTCCTATTCTCCTCGATCGTTTTCCAACTTTTCGAAAAGTGGCCGCCCTCATTAAGCACCAAAACAAACAATCCCGTTGGAATTCAACGATCTTGTTTATTCCCACGAAAGTTACCCGCCATATTTCGCCGAAAGAAACTATTGTTCGATTAGCGCTTCCAAGTTCTTTTTCTATCTTCTCGCCCATCGTCTGACAACTTTTCGGACAACGTTCGAGGAGTCTCCTCGCCGCTCGGGAATTCGACTGGGCGACACACAATTTCTCCCGCGGAGAAGCAGGGGCCTCGTTCGATTTCGTTATTTCGTAATTCACACTTTTCGAACGCTACGGCCCATTTCATTCCCAACAAATTGGGAAATAAATTTCATAACTCTATTTTAAAGCAATTTAATTTGACGGACGTAAGGCTGAAAGGGTTAATCAGCGGGGAAAATTAACGGGCGGTTTTTTTTTGGCAATAAAAAGATCCGGACGAAGTTGGCGAGCTCGAAGGAGCCCCCATCGATTTTACAATCTACCCCCCTCGCGCAGACTATTATCCCCCTTTCTCTCTCTCCTCTCTCCTGATAACCCGACGTCCTCCGTCGGGCGGGCGAGGGGGAGGTGATCCTTTTCTTTTTCTTAATGTAGGTACGTCGCTGATTCGCAGTTAATGAAGCGAGAATGAACGCCGACGGGAGAGAAAGGCGCGTTTTGCAGAAATGGGGGAACGCGCGTCCAGGAATTTTTTTCACGACTGCCGCCCAGATAGGAAATTTTTTTTCGCAGCTCGCGCAAGCGAGAATCCCGCGCGTAAATGGCCCGGCCAGGTTGAAATTATGTACCGAGAAGCATGCCCGCGCCGCACTTTTACCGCTGCTGCAGTTGCGATTCTTTCCCACGTTGGTCTACCTAGGGGGTCGCTATCGAGCGCGGAATATTAGACGGTTCATTTCCGTGGTGCAATAATGATAATTTAGATAAAAAATCTCATTAAAGCGGACGCGAAATGTGAATTAATCGTTAAATCGATGAGTAGCTGTTAATTACTTAGCAAAGATCCGGGGGAATAATATCGAAAACAGATATATGAGATATTTCATCTGCCGTTACTCGAAATTAAAAATCATACTTTACTCAAAGCCGATTACGCCAATGCGGACCGTCGCTTGCTATTCATTTATGTGGAAGATGCGACGTGTGTTTCAGAACTTGTTTAATTTTTAAGGAAAGAGCTGGTAATTAATCATTCAAGACACGCGCTTTTTATAATAATCAATTTAACGACAGTCCTCGCGCGCGAGTCGATTTTGTATAATCGCAACGTTTTTGTATTAGATATTAAACATACGTATATGATTGAACGCGCATTAATAGAGCAAAGTCGCCTATTATGAGACAAGTTTCCAATATGAGATAGCGGGATTTTTGTTAAATTAACAAGCATCAGCTGTTGGTTCCACCATGAATTTATTGCTCTTGAAGTGAAACCTGTTTAGCGGAAAATTCATTGTTAGATCGTGCACTCGTCGCGGAAAAAGATTTGTGATTGAATTTGGACATTGAAAACCTGTTGTCTTACATTAGAAGCCCGTCTCATAATAGGGGACTTTTCTCTATTTAGCGAACACAAAATATGATAAACAATAATTGTACTAATATGAGATCTACGTGTCTTGAGGAAAAAGTTTATACATAATGAATGTATGTTTTTTTATAAGATTAAATTCTAAATTTGATCTTCTCCTTGTTTCACAACTTATGACGTATATTTGATGCCGTGAATATCACTTTTTTAATGAGCAACAACCTCCAAGCCATCGATGGAGGGTTTCTATTAAAATTAATTGTTGTTAGTAAAATGAATTCCGATGCCCCTTTCTTATCGATTCGTCTACTTAAATTTCTGCTCTTTGTTACAGACTTTTCGTTACCGCCGCCTTGTAGTTACGTGAGGTACAGCAGCCTGGAGGACGTGAGGCCGAAGGAGTTGGGCTTCCCTCAATTAGAATTCACGCCCACGGTCGTTTCAAAAATACGGTAAGGCCGCACCGCTTGCCCCGTTCGCTCCTATAATCACGCCATTGTTAACTCGCTATTAAAAGGGAAGCGAACGCGCCCTGCGAATTGTCAGGAGCGGCTTCTTAAAGGGCCCGAATTTAATTATGCCGGGTCGGTAACCCTCTTTCCTCCCCCCCTTCCCCCTCCGGAACGGGGTGCCGCCCGCGCAGCAAGCGAATCTTCTAATTAGCGATGCGGTAGCTGCCTTTTGCACGCACAGGGAAAATTTGCGTCGCAAACACGGTAGGGTGGGGTCCGGCGTAAAGGGCGAACTCGTTTCAGCGCGACGCAGGCGGCGCCGGCGTCCTGTTTTGCTTACAACGCAAACTAATTACGCTCGGTAATCGAACGCGCGATCGAATCAGTCAATCAGGAAACTCCGCGTCTGAAATCCGCGATGTCGAGACAGAGCGATGGCGCGCGGAAACGCAAAACAAAATTGACTTATTAATTATATGGCAGGAGTCTGTTCTCTGCGAGGAGAAGAAACAAGGCGAGAGACGGGGTGGTGAAGAAGAAGAGAATATTTTCAAATTTTGGAAAACTTGAAAAATATCTATCTTTGTCTAATTTAAAGGGAAAACAAAGACGTACATGTGATTGAACTATTAGTTATCTTACCAAGAGGTTGGGACAACCGGCCCTTAATGAAAAAGAAGTCGATATCTAGACCGTGCGTGCTAATTCGAACGAAAAATCTTTCTGAAAAATTAGGAGTAATTTAAAACCAGAGAATTATTACTATCGATTAATCAGACTCCCCGATCACTTCTTTTTCATTAAGGGCCGGTTGTTCCAACCTCTTGGTAAGGTAACTAACAGTTGAGTCATATATACGTCTTTGTTTTTCCTTTAAATTAGACAAGGATAAACTTATAATTTAATTATTAGTTAGCTTACCAAGAGGTCCAGGTTCAAATCCTGGCTGAGGTAATAGTTTTCGCAATAAATTTCTTTAATTAGAATTTGTTAGTTGTGTCGATTATTAATTTCCTACATTCACCAATTATCTTTTTCTCATATCCGAAAGCACGCGGGCGAAGTTAAATTAACATCTTGGGAGGCGCCTCGTGACTATCGTCGAGTCTTACACGGAGAGAATTTTCTTTTCAAATTTACCCTGAAAATCATGGGGCAACATGGTATTTTGTAGAACTTTATAAAAGTTTTTCTGAAAGTTTTTTAAAACTCTCATAAAGTTCTACAAAATACCATGTTGTTCCACGATTTTAAGGGCAAATTTGAAAAGAAATTTAAAAAGTATACATTTTATTAGTAAAATGTATGGTAAAATTTCAAAAACTCTCATAAACTTCTTCAAAATGCCATGCCGTCTCACGACTACATGATTTTCAGGGTAAATTTTAAGAGAAAATTCTTTCCGCGCACAATTGGTAAAAACAGCGCTGCTGTTAGCAAAAGTTCATTGATAAAACATCTACTTTTACACCCGCTGCAACGCGTGTGTGGCGCGAGTACACGCGCGCCCACGTTACGCATTTTAATTAGACCGACGACATGCGAAGTGATGGTCAGTGTTCGATATCAATTAACGACTAATTATAGAGCGGTACTTGCGACCGGAGGAACAAACGACGTATTCTCGCGTCAGGGATGCCCTTTAGCGTGGAGACGAACTGACAAATGTCTTACGCGCACGTGTTGCGCGAGCGGTGTTTATCATGTTATTAAAAAATCTTTCATATTATTATTTTTATTACATCACGCGTCGTCATTACGTCATAACCTTTCCGACAGAATCTCCACGAACCGCCGGTATGATTCGCAAATATTTGCCGTTGCAAGTATCGATTTTGAAATACTGATTACACGGCGAAGGAAGGGCCAGTCGGGCGGGAACAAGGTGGGGAATAAAGAAACGGAACGATGGGTAAAATTGATTCGTGGTCAAACAGTCGGTGGGCGCAGCGAGCTAGAAAAGTTCTATTGACTCGGTCAAATAACTCGCCGGCCCGACATTATTTAAACAGGGGATGGTTTATCCGTGCCGGCCGCGCAAGGATGCACATTTAATTGAAGGGCCCGGGCAGTCGCGCTACTTCGGTGGCGAATTTTGGAGACTCCCGGGGTATCCCGAGGATCCGGCGAAATCCTCGGGATCCTCGGGACACCTACGGATTCTCAAAGATTAGCTATAACTCACAGAGATTCCGGGATGTCCTCCGAGACCTCTGCAGATACGTAGATACGACGTTCACGTTCGAATGCGCGCGTAGCCAAGAGTCGAAATTAACTTGCTCGTCAGATCGAACGTCAGTCGGCGCTTTTTTGCTTTTAAAGAACGCGACGCCCCCGCGCTTTGATATCTGGTAAACAAGGTTTAAAGTGCACGCTGGAGCTCGCGCAAGAATCGATCTCGAGCGCTTGCTCAATCCTTTCTTCTTTAAGAGAGCGCGAATTTAGTCGCGAAACATATGCTCGCACCGTCGCGTTTTATATTCGGTCGAGGATTCTTCGAGGCGCATGAACAAGATTTACATACGTAAAGATATAAGTTTTAAAGGATCCAGATTATTTAGATTATGAAGATTGCATGGATGAATTGATTGGTATTGACCGAAATAACGAAATCCGTGTAATTATACGAATAACAGCCGGTGTACTTGGTAATCTACAATTTACATTTAACGCGAGAAGAATCAATAATACTTTGGATCAAGTGGCTCCCAGCGATGCGCGGACTAAGAGGTGCCCAATTGTGTCGCTCTATTTTTCTTATTACCAGCTTGACAGAGCATCAATTCAGATTAGACTCAATTTACGTTGGGTCGCGGTTTAATAAGCCTACCAATTTCGCTCCGGAAACGACGTTTCAGATCCGAGGTAAGGCCGCAAAACACGAAGACACCCTAGTCGATCGTCTCGATATTCCGCCGCCGTAGCGACGAGTATTACAGAGGAGAGGCGCGGCAGTATCCGATGCAGTATCGCACACTCATGCACTATTCGTCCTGATACAAAGGAACGTGTCCTGTATGATGTGCCAAGGCACCGACTCCTCTCTCTCTCTCTCTCTCTTTCCCCCTCTCTATGTGTGTGTGTGAGTCTCTGTCTCTTTTCTCTCTCACCCCTGGCCGTCTCCCTCTGATTCTGGCTTTCTCTTTCGCTCCTACGCGTCCTTCCTTCGCTCCGTGCAGAGCAACAATAATTTAGTTATTGGGACCGCCGATAACGTTGCGGCCGGGACGGCCACTGATGTGGCTTGATTAATGAAAATTCTCCTTACTCGGCAACGACACGTCCTCCGTGTGTATGTACGAGCATTCGCCCGGCCGATGTTTACGCGGCCACCCCCGGACGCCGCGGGCAGAATTAACCGGCGCGATGCGGCGTAATTGAAGCACCATCGGGGGAAATGGTATCCCCCGGCCTCATAGAGGATAATTATCGTGGAGAGAGGGAAAAGGTCCCATAGAGCATCTTGGTTTACTCTGATATTTCCGTAGATAATTTTTACGGGACACTCGAATCGTGTCGAATTTACATTAATATTAACGTTTTACTGTTACTTGAGCCTAGCACTGAGCTATTTAGCTTTAAGAAGATAGCGGATAGTCGAGAAGCTGAACGATTACAAGCTAATGTTCAAATATTGTACGATCGTTGAAAACTCGCAGGTGTAACGTACATGTGCGACGAAACAATAAAGTCAAATCAGTAAAATGTATGGATGGATTATAAACGATTAGAATAAAACTGGTGCGCATCATTAGAATAAATAGAAAATATACTTCTTATGTTTCTTTTAATTTTGTGATACGAGCGTAATAACAGATTTCTTCACTTCTGTTTCCTTGCAGCAATTTCTTTGCGTGATCTTAGAAGATTATACATTCTTCAGTATTGAACTATTTATTGAATCTAATCGGTTCTAATCCATTCATTTTTAAGCAATAGATCTATGAAAACTTATGCTTCTTTGCACAATTTCACGTTCTTAAATTCCAATGTGCATTTCAGATCTAATGGATCTGGTGAATCCAATGTGATTTTTTAATAGATCTATCACGTCAATTTAAAAGAAAAGGTTATTACTCACCGATACGATGCGCAACAGCGGAGTTGTAGTTCACGTCGCAAACTGCGTTGAACTGTAAAATACAAATATATAATTGTTATAGAATAATTATTTAAAATTGAAATTATTGCATTAAATATTTTACACTTTCTTTAAATAGTTACTTGAAAACTTGAAATAATTATACAGGACTCGAAAAGTCTTCCTTTTAAATATAAGTTTATAAAATTTCAATGTTTTCGTTTTCGCAATTCTAGTTGACTCGTTTAAATAAAACAGGGAGCAGATGCTCAATTTTGCAAATAGTAAATATAGAGGGGAGTCCTCTGTTATGAGATAAAATTCATAATACGAGATAGCAGGTTTCCAACGTTCAAATTCAATCGCAAATATTTTTTCGCAACGATTACACGATTCAACAATCAATTTTCTACCAAACAGATTTCATTCCAAAGGCGATAAATGCATGATGGAACCAACGGATGTTGCCGATTAATTTAGCCGAAACCCCCGCTATCTCACATTAGGAGCTGATCTCATAATAGGGGATTTTGCTCTAATAATGTATAAAATATAAAGCATTTACCTCACGGTTGCTCCGCCGTTGCCCGATGCCTCCCCCAGGCCACCTCCTCCTCTCAGTCTTCCTTGTTGCACTGGCACAATATTCACTCGCGAAAATGATTAATTACGATCGCGCGAAATTTTGCGTGGCACTCCCGTACGCGACGTGAAATACCGCGAAACGCATGAAATATTATTAACATGTGTCGCGTGACTTGTCGCGCAAATCATTCGAATCGGCAACTCGCGTGTCATCTTGCGTTTGTTTATTTGAAAGCAGCAATGATAAAAGAATAAATCACTTTTAAATTGGTGATATAAAACGCGACGCGAACACCGAAATCCAAGTAGTTCGTAACAAAACTTGTGATATTTC